GCAGTGCTATGTTGGCTAGCACTATGGAAGAAAGAGACTTGGGGGTCATCATTGACCACAAGATGAACATGAGCCTGCAGTGCGATGCTGCGGCTAGTAAAGCGACCAAAACGCTGGGTTGCATCCATAGATGCTTCTCAAGGAAATCCCGGGACGTCATTCTCCCCTTGTACTCGGCCTTAGTGAGGCTGCAGCTAGAGTACTGCGTCCAGTTTTGGGCTCCACAATTCAAAAAGGATGTGGAGAAGCTTGAGAGAGTCCAGAAAAGAGCCACGCGCATGATCAGAGGTCAGGGAAGCAGACCCTACGATGACAGGCTGAGAGGCCTGGGGCTCCTTAGCCTGGAAAAGCGCAGGCTATGGGGTGATCTGATGGCCACCTACAAGTTTATCAGGGGTGACCACCAGTATCTGGGGGAACATTTATTCACCAGAGCACCCCAAGGTATGACGACTAGGTCGAATGGTCATAAACTACTACAAGACTGTTTCAGGCTGGACATAAGGAAGAATTTCTTTACTGTCCGAGCCCCCAAGGTCTGGAACAGCCTGCCACCGGAGGTGGTTCAAGCGCCTACATTGAACACCTTCAAGAGCAAACTGAATGCTTATCTTGCTGGGATCCTATGACCCCAGCTGACTTCCTGCCCTTTGGGCAGGGGGCTGGACTCGATGATCTTCCAAGGTCCCTTCCAGCCCTAATGTCTATGAAATCTATGAAATCAAAATCATTAATCTGAACATCAAATTTCTCGCCATGCTTCAGAACTTGTACAGGCTCTTGGAACATCATTGTAGTAAGTACATTATTTACAAGGGCAAGGGAAGGTTTCTCAGTGATGAGCTCCAAAGGTAAAGGTGATCATGGAGCTTATTTCCTTTAGACATGAATACAAGTTCCACTGGACTGAGATGAAGTTGTCATGTACTTCCAGACAAAACTAAGCATTCATAGGGCCAGTTCAATATGTCCAATAGCACAGATGCATTTAAGTAATTCACATGGGTTTAGGGTTGTCCCACAGAGACAGATTAAAGTAACCCATGTTGAGATCCACTTTATTAGCTAAAATATGTTTCTAAAATAATGTTACTTGTAACTGCAGCCTAAAAAGTTTTCCCACAACAATCATCTCCCCTTACCTATACCTGTTCCAAATCCACATTTATTCTCCCACTGAAGGGCTAATCTCATTTCTCTCATATGTAAGTGAGGTAATAGTCAGCTGCATCAGCAAGTCAGCAAAACCCACTTAACACTTCCCATCAAGATCATCATCTAATAACAGGATGTGGTTTTCAGGCAAGAAGTGCTAGCCTGTTTTATCATCTCAGCCACATCATTCCCATAATCAAATTCCCTCAGAATGGCTTGTGATGTTTTCCCTGAAGATAACAGACGTACTCCCTCATGTCATGAAATATTTAGAATAATTTTAACATGTAAGAAATCAACCACTGTGTAAATGCAGAGGACTACAAAAGGGTGGAGATTACAGACTTCCAGACAGATCCTTCTTTATGTAATTTTGTT